ACCGTGAGCTAGTATAGGTGTTTGGTATAACTGCATAATGCCTGGCTGGTTTTTATATCATCGAGAAGTCATTTCAGGTTTAACCAAGGGACCCTCGATCGCTTCGAGTTACAGCCATCCGGATGAACCGGCATATCGTCTCGCTCCAGACAGGTCTACAGGTTACCACAAAGTCATGAAATAACATTTGTGAAGCGGACATGAATGCTATAGGCCTACTGCTGCTTGTCTGACGCACCATACTGGGCGCGACTACATTTCTTGTTATTCAATCTTTGAGTCAATTGTATTTATTAAGTATACCCGTAACTTGGAGTTGACCGAGTACATTTATTTTGGCTAATGGCGTCAATCGCTTCTCATAAGTGTGTGTGTGTGTTGGGGGGGGGGGGACATACCTTGATCAGCACTAATGCGAGCGTGAAGCGCGAAGCCCTAATGGCGTAGGGTCCGGCCGTCCGGGGCCCGCTCATATAAGGGCCCCTTGGGCGGGGAGGATTGGTTTGATGTTCCACAGACAACATTAAATGTGGCAAGCATTGATATTTATATGATATTCCAAAAAACAAAGTTAATTAATTGAGCGAAACAGGTGTTTCAGAAACAAGTTCATCTGCATCTGGCGTTCTAGTCGTCATTAAAGTTTTATCCGTGAATGCATGATTTGTTTTAAATGTAGAAATGCGTGCATCAGAAACAACAGAAAGGGACGCCTGATCTCTTACACGAAATATCAATTACGTTTTTCTTTGCTATTGTTTGTCGAGTTGGTAACATTTGTGTTCTTTTAAAATAACCCGATAATTTTAGCATAAAGGTATGACTTTCGTCTCCTCTCACAAACAGGGTGGGTAAAAAAAATAGAAACCCAAATGTCGGGACCATTGTTTTAGTGAAGTTCTGCATGTAGCACTTTCAAAATTTAGGATATGGAAGCCCAATTCATAAGCTTTCTTTTAGTATAAGAATCATTCAAATCACTCATGTACTTTTCAAGTTACGGAACTTTAAACACAACCACCGTTTCAAGGTTCTGTCCACGGATCACAAAAAAGTTCAGTGTTCTTTCAGCAAAACGAAAACAAATCACATAAGGATGTGTGTGAATTGTTTTCGTTTTGCTGAAAGAACACACATTTTTTTGTGATCCGTGGACAGAACTTTAAAACGGTGGTTGTGTTTAAAACTTGAAAAGTACATGAGTGATTTGAATGATTCTTATACTAAAAAAAAGCTTAGGAACTGGGCTTCCATATCCTAGATTTGGAAAGTGCTACATGCAGAACTTCACTAAAACAACGGTCCCGACATTTAGGTTTCGGGTTTTTTTTTACTCACCCTGTAGAGTGAAGCCCAAGACAGAATTGTTGCCATGGCTTTATTTGATTTGTTGAACGGAGAAAATAATAATTGGTCCCAAATTACTAATTATCCGACAACCAGCGGGAGAACGCACAATAATATTTACGATATATAAGATTTTCTCATATACTTTGTGCCTATGCTGACACCATTAAATCATCCCCACTTATCCCCACAGGGTCAATTAAATTAAACCCGCTGGCGGGAAACTTGGTTTTAGCGCGTGGACATGCAGACTGCAGGGAATTAGGAACTGGATGGCTATAGGCTTATTATAAGCCAGGCCTATACCTTTTAAAAAATTTATTAATTGTCACTTTTCAAACAATAGGAGTGTTTTTCTTTCAATGTACCCCACCCCCCAAAAAAAAAACCTGCAAAGACAGAAAACCATGTATGCGTCAGGTTAAAACCCAGATTCCGACAGAAATATTGTTATGCTCATAGTCTGAGTTATTCTGTTAAGACGAAAAGCTTAAGCGTGTTATTAATTAAAACAGATAAATGATTGCCAATATGTATTTTTTTTTTACTTTTAAACACAATGCGTGTTATTGAGCTAGTTCTGGATGCCGAGCTCCAGTGAAGGGTTTTTTTATATCAAAATGACGCACTCACATTTAATTCGCAAAATTCGAGATCCTTGGTATACTTGCAGAAAAAAATGAACCAAAAAAAAAAATCCAAAGTGACCAACTCTCTTGTCGAGTTCCCTGATGGTAATGTAATTGAAGAGATTATTTCCTAAACGTTACCTTTTAGAATTCCACCTTTCCCTGACTGCCCAAAATCTGTTTCGACGGGTTTAATGTAGTTAAACACAACTTAACGAATTAAAAAAGCGAAAAGTGAAGTTTAAAAACAGATGTCATACTGTTTTTATTCTTTAACTTTTCATAATCTTGGAAATTTCAACCTTTTTTCAAATGGATATCTCGTCTTCGAAATAATTCTTCGTATTTTTAATTCCTGGACAGAATTCAAGCAAGCTGCCTATACGCGTCCCCCTAATATTAGTCCGCGTCCGAATTTCGTTTCTAGAGTTCATTATTGTCTATGTCTTCGCCTTTTCTGTAGTGAGCAAGCAGACAACAGACGTAGTCGTAGCCCTGCAACGGACACGGCATTTGCCTTTCATTGGTCGAAAGAGTCCCCGTCCAAAAATTAGCCACGACCGGTGCACTGTACTTGAGGTGTACCGGAGCCGATAAGTCGAACACACAGCGCGCTTACAATTTCCTCTCAAATTGTCCACAGTTCAAGGGCAGCCCACTGATAGTGTGACTGTTTACTGCAAGCCTCATCTCAACCCCCCCCCCCCTTACCCATATGCGCCCGAGAGAGCGCAATGCTAAATTTCGACCGGACCCCAAAGGGCCTCGGACTCTGAAAATGAGTGTCAGCTTTCGATTGATTACGAATCTGATTCCCACACCTGTCGCCCCGACTGACATACCGGTAGCAATTATCTGATATCAGGTGCCTGCCGACGGACGGTTTGTCCTCAAGGCTATTTCTCACCCCCCACAAAATGTGAGGAAAAGTATGGAATTTGCGAACTTGAAGCTTCGAGTCAATTCCGTGTTTTTCTTTCTCGTCCATCTTCTGATGGCCGTGTCACAGCTGGGTTATGACAGAATATTACTTTGCGACACAATTGCCTAAAGCAAGTCTGCAGTCTGCAATACTCATCGTCAGACTATTTTTCTTTCCCTATCTTTTGCCTCTTGAATATCAGAGAAAGTTTCAGAATAGCCTGGCCCGTTTTTCGAAATAATATTTCGCACCGACGGTCTCGATCCAGGACAGCCGAAGTAGTCTTGGACGCGTAATAATATCCAGACTTCAAATGGCGTTGCCGGTAATTTTGAAATTGACCAGGTCTTCCCAAAATTAAACTTCAACTTTGATATCAATCAACTTCAACGAGTCAACCAAATCCTACGATACATGTTGGCATCGGGAACCCCATCTCATTCACTCAAATCTCATTTTCTTGACATTCAAAACAGCCGTTTCCTTCCCAATCATAACCTCGGAATGACTATTCGCTTTCAATCCAATGGTCACTTTGATAGGTATTTCTCTAACTCGCATTCCGTATTTGCACAGTAAACGTGGAAGATTGGATCTAAAATACCAACGTGAATAGAATCAGTCAGACATTTCTTCGTTCTTTGTTTCTGACTATCCATTGAGTGATTGTCCTGCTGGATATTTTAATCCAGATTTCATGATTTGATTATCCTTAATGAAATATCCCCTTTTTTTCACTCCCTGAAAAAAGGAAAACAAAACCGCAGGAGATTGTTTCTCTAGTCTCAAAATCGGTATCGACTCTGACGAAAGTAAGTATTTTTTTATGCTATTGGGAAAGATCGCAGAAATTTCATCACGTTATCAAAATCGAAATGTTATTTTTTTTTTGTGCCACAGACGGAATGGAAGCTTGTTCATGAAAACCGAAATGAATTTCAGAATTCCGCCAAAGAGCCCCCCAAAAATTGTTTAAAATGATATTTTCATTGGTTTTGGTATTTATAATATAATGTTTGTCACTATTTAACGCGAAATTGTATTTCAATATTTACAAGTTGTGGAAGTCACACTAAAGATCGCAGTTTCACAAAACATTTAAGTGATAAGAGATAAAATTAACTGATACAATGTTGTCAAAATGAATAGTCATATCATGTTTCCGAGCACGTACATACATCAAATTCCTAAATTATTTTGGGTCTTTATTCAGATGAAAACCACACTGCGCGTTCCATTCATTTACAAAATAAAATAAACAAGTAAAAACACACGTGTGCGAAATTACAACGTATGTGATGTAATTGTGAAATGTGTCAAGATTAATTTCTGAAAAAAGTACACCTGGACACCTCTTTCATAAATGGGAATAAATATTAATAATACGTCTTCAGCATGTACAATGAAGCATATTCTTTAAAGAATAACTTACCAAACAGAGCGTGTCGTTACGGAACAGGGAGGGGGTCAGAAATTACAGATTTAAACCATTTTTCCGATTCAAAAAGGTCATTTTCGTTCGTGATATTATTTGAAAAGCTTCTCTCTCCTTAGAACTGCCAGGCTAATCGAAGTCATCAATTTATACTAAATTCCTTGCACGACTTCGATATCATTTGTGTTTTGAGGCTTTTTCTCACTTAAAGAATATGGACATTCAAGGAAATAAATGTCATAAGCCTTAAAGCCTGAAGACAAATCAGAACCACGAGTTCCTGGTACGTTTTGGATTAAACAAAATGGAATACGATTTTCCAATTATATGAGAAACGCCTTTTCCGTACAAGGACTATTTTGTCTGAATGTTCGAGACGGCCAAGTGATGAAGACAACAGAGACACAATTTGTAACTTTTTCGTATCACAATTTGTATATCACTATTCAAGGAACAGAATTTACCGAAAATGTTGAGTTGGGGAAAGGACTAACTCATAACAGAAGTATTGGTCAAGTTTATTGGTCATTTTCATGATGCTTATAGAAGAGAGTTATCAATGAAGCGCTATCGAGACAAATCTTGACATTTTGCAACTGAGCAAATTTGAAAAACCAAAAAGTCGAGCTAAGAATAATATATTTTGAAATAACTAAATTGAACTCACCGAGGGCTTTCCGGAAAGATAGATCACGTCTTCCTGGGGAACGTCTCCTCCGTTCGGGCTCCTCCGATGCCTTTTCAGCTGCTAGTCCAGGGGTTTCCGTCGGTGAAAATTCAAGCGAATTGCAGTCAGCTATCACCTTCTTCGATGCGTCTGTTCCAAGTCGTCGCGTTGATTGAAGTGCGGTCAATCGACTGGGTGCGTTTGGCTATCAACCACCACACTCACTGAATTATTCATGAGCGTAGAAAAGAGTCTGCGCTCCGTGTGTGTGTGCGCGCGTGTGAGACCCACTGCGCATGACCAGTCTAACAGTCACCGGGTGACGTCATTTGCTACCGCGTTTTTGATTGGCTGCTGAAGTTCTGGGCAGTGGGTGATGTAATTCTTGGTTCGCATGTGGTCGAAACAAAAAGCGAAATTAGACGGGTATTAAAACAGAGGGTTAACGGCCTCTGATTTTTCTTCTTCTTAAGCGTTCAAACTTGAAGGACAAGGCCCTTGAACGTTGAAATTACCGGTAAATGGGAGTCAGTCAAGCGGGGAGCGAGAGTGTGCTTGACGGGGGAACATCAGTGACCTGACGGTCGGGGAAAGTGACAGCGACGCGGTCCGGAAGTTACCCTCATCACATACTCAAGAGATTTGTCCTCAAAGCTTGCGGTACCAAACTCATTAAAATATTTGTATTAAAGAACAAGGGATGTCACATACTAGTACCAAACACACCGATCCGAGTAGATTCCGCAGTAGATCCAATCGAGAACTTGAGAATGATTAATTACATTTTTTTTTAAAGCATGATTTTGCAACCCCGCATTTGGATCCTGAATTCCCAAGACGTTCAAGCTGTCAAACACAGACAGATCAATTAATATGTTAGTTTGCTCGGACAGAAATGAACAGTTTTTCTTATATATCTGTCCCCAAAGTCACTGTATTTGTCTGAACTAGCCGTTGATTGCTTTGGCCTATAGGGAAAGACATTTTACCATAATTATTTCCTTTTGCCCCTAGCCATGAGTTTTTCGGATACCTTTTGATCATTGTCACTCACAGTTGATTTCCGTCTTTATCAAATTCCAGATGTTAAAATTTGGGACGAATTCGGAAATGACAATAAGCCAGTCGAGCAGGGGTAATAGAACGTGAAGCACATACATCTGTCAGCAATCGACATACATGACTGTATGATAATAATGTAAATTCATATTTCTATTTCAAAATCAACGTCAGTTCTAAATCTATGAATAATTTAATTATATTCATATTAATATTTCCTCTGAATTACAAATCAAAATTTGCGATTCAAGGTCATGTTTTCTTCAAGGTAAAATTAATGTTAGTTATCAGAGGACCAAAATCATCAGCGACTGCGGAATGGTTTGATGTTTTTCCAATATGCAATAAATTTATTAAAGGGGTTCTGAATCAAAAGACAGTGGAATAATAAAGCAATGTAAATTACTGAGGATCCGGGCAATGCAATCTCCCGGAGCACTTCTTACGACATGCCATCTTATCTCACCTGAAAGCGTCAGCTACGTAGCGATCAAATCAACTTCAACGTTTTCAATTTTCGTTCACCTCGCGGGCCGGTGTGCGCAACATTTTTACGACTCGTTGTATCTTAGCTGCAGCGGCATGTCGTCTCGCGCTTGATACTGCGAAATGTAGCTGTGCCATCTTTAAAACATTTCTAGCATCGTTCGGAGTCATTTACGACATCTGAAATCACGCGTTCAGGATTTTTATGACGTATTTAATAAATCGTAAAACAAAATTAATGTTAACAACACACTGCGTAACATAATGAATTGTAGCTGTTAAAATATCTGTGTGTCAATAATGTGAAAGGTGTGACTCTACTGCGCACATAATAAACACCGTTTTCAGGACGGGACTGGCATGTTGATTTCCACTAAAAAGCTACTGTAATGTTTTTGAAATGCTCGTCCGCAAAAATGGACATGTTATCAAGGAAATATTTATTTGAGCTTCATAACAGACTTTTTGAAAGAGAGAATCTGACGAATAATCAGAGGTTTTCGGTAATATAACAACGAAGTAACCGTTATTTGCGATGTTAAAAAAAATACCAATTCTAAGAACCAAACCTTTTATTAGCTACGCACTCCGGGGACTTGTCATTACTGTAAAAAATGTAACGTGATTGTCGCATGCATTGGTCTGTACAAGGTTCTGCATAGAAAATGCAGGAAATTGACACACAATGACCACCGCCAAATGCAATTGCTGAGAATCAGGTTACATCACTAAAAAATGGCGATGCCGGTCCAGCCCTTTGTTGTTATGCCAAGGTTTCCGATTGTTATTTTCCCGAATGAATGAAATTGCGTCTTACACTGAACTTGGTTTGTGGGTGAATTTACGGAGTAATTGTGGCAAAAAAGGCAAGAGGAGTAATCATTAGTAGGAAGCAATCATTTTAGGTAGCGCATCCAATCTTGAGAAATCATAGGGGCTTTCGTTGAAGGATGGGTTGGCCTGTTAATTTTTCCCCGGTCTTTGGTTTAAAAAAAGGGGCATGAATAAGGGGGCATGAATAAGGCGGACAAGCTTTGTGGCCGCCCACTGAAGCCTCCGCCTTCGATGAGAATTTAATTGTTAGACTAACGTGGGAACTGATTAAATTCACTCGTGAATGTCAGAAAGATGTACAATTCTGCCAATACCCTCTAGACTTCTTACAATGTGACACACGTCAAGTCAGTATCCTCATCATTTATAACTTACTGATGTCCTGATCAGTAAGATATAAATCAAATCTTAAGTTTATTAAGCTACGATTTATCAAGGAGTTGTCTTGCTTCATTGTTGTGCTGTACATGTCCGTGGTTAAATTTTTATATTTTTGAATGTTACTTGTCACTGAAATTCGTCTTCTGATTGTTTTCATTTTTTAATACATTGCCTTTCTGAAGGGTTGTTGGCATGGGCGTCGCGAGGGGGGGGGGGGGGCAAGGGGGGCACTTGCAACCCCCCCCCCCCCCCGGAAAAGCAAAAACAAAAAACAAAAAACAAAAAGGAAGAAAAAAAAAGAAAAAGAGGCGCGAAGACAAAGTGGTGTAAATTTAATGAGTTGGGGGGGGGGCAAAATGTCCCTTCCCCCTCTAAAACTTATAAATCGAGAATGTGTTGAGAAATACAAGCATTTTTTGGCAAAATTTTTTTTGCCCCCCTCTAGAAAAAATCCTGGCGACGCCCATGGTTGTTGGTTGTTACATTATAGTTGTGCGTACATGTACATTTTGTATACAGATATTTTTAAGTTGTACTGGTACATGTACTGGTGTTGTATAACTTTCTATTGTACCATTAGATTCTTATATTTTTGTGCGTAGAAGCTTTAGTTGTAAAAATTGACTCAATTTAGCCATTGGGTACAGATTCAGTTTTTAATGAACCAACAATAATAAAACATTAAAAAAAAAAAAAATTCGAACCGTTTCTTAAGAGGCCAGTCAAGTTGGGCAATATGAACAGTTAAGATCTTCATCAATCAGCCATTTCAAGTTTCAACCAAATAAACTGCTGCTTTAAAAAGATAATAAAAAGTCGCAAAAACCGCAGTGTAGAATAAGTCCATCTGATATTTATTATACTTATCCAACATTAATACCACACGGTGAAGATGTTACAGCGTAGGTTTTTGTTAATGTATATGATGTTACTTCGGTAAAGAATCCTGTCTAGGGACACAAACATCACGCTTCATTTTTTTCAACCGAGACTCTACTACAAATGTTGAAATGATGAGAAAAAAAACCCCAGCAATGACCACTAACCCTCACAGGATTTCTACATGTACCGCTACTCGGTTCTATTATGTGTCCCAGACGCAGTCTACCAAGCTATTTACACGAACACCTCCAGGTTCCTGGGAGAGCCGAGTCCTCCGGTACCTTCTTCCCGGAGTCACCCGGGCCCCGAATCAAACGCCTCTTACGCCTGATCTGTCAGCCATCCCCAACACCTCGACTGGGTCTTTCACACATCTACGTCATCCTCGGATAATTAGCTTAAATGAGCTGTCGACGCGGAACCTTATGATCCCCTAGCTAGCCGCGGCTACCATGATGACTCCCATTTCTTTCTTTAAGTCCTTGCCAGGATCCAGGATCGGACAGTTGAATAATGTGACGTCTACCGCCAGGGAGTGGAGCATCAGGGGGGTGAATTCCGTCCAGCCTCCCCCGGGGACCGATACGATTTCACCCCGGTTGAAGTTTGCTTTGACAGGTCATTACTGATAAACCCGGGGCTCAGAGATCCCGCGCGCGCTATTTACCGATATGGGTCAGCAAATTATTTCCCAAGAAGCCGACGCAAAAAAACAAACGACGGGTATTTTTTATGCAAATATGCTGACAGGCGTCTTAAAAATCTGTCCGTGTATTTTGGGTTAACAAAACGAAATCTTTGTTTAGTTTCTCTAAAACAGATACGGTCCAGCGCGACTTATATTTTTTTCTGTCCATCAGAGACACCACTTCCGCAATGTGTATATTGTGGTATTCAAACAAAATGAAAGGCACGCAGGAACATTTGCAATATTCCACGGAAACGTGCCCACCGATTTAACGAGAAAATCCTTGCTCAGATTGAAGATGAGTCTGGTACCAAACACCCTGTGACATTATTCCACCTGAAATGGTATCAGTCGGAAGGAAACAATCATTGAAGGTGGTTTAAGAAAATGTGCCCGCGGGTACAGTTTTTTACATGCATTAGCAACGGAATCCAGTTACCAGGCCACAAAAATTGTGCACACGTTTTCTCTGTTTTCTCCAAATGTATAATATTCACTGAGCTGAAAGCTCAACGCGTTAGTTTGTGTGCACCTTTCGATTTTGAGCAATTTTGTCGCTTCAAACGAAAAAAAAATGCACAGAAGCAAAGTTCCCATGTACCAAACTAAAGACTTTTCCTTCGCAATTAAGCAGTTGAATGAGTTTTTTTCTTGTAGTTATATAAATCCTGGTCAAAAAACCCCCCACAATTTGCACACGTAATAGAGAAATCCATACCGTCCTTGGTGTAGCGTTTCTCAAACCCTTTGAATACATGTTCATATAAGCAGTGTTCCAACTCGCAGACATGTGAAATAATTTCAGACGGTTCGCACTATACCAGGGTTTGAAATTAG